TGTGTGTGTGTGTGTATAAAGAAGGAACAAGTTCTAGTATTTACTAGTACAGTAGGGTGACTATAGTTAACAATAAGTTATACTATATACAAACTCACTAGAAGAAAGACTTAGAATGTTTCCACCACAAAGAAACAGTGAATGTTGAGAAGATGGGTATGCTAATGAGAAGGGTGAATATATGTAATGATTTGATCTTTACACATATGCACATACATCAAAATAGCACACTGTACCTTATAAAGATATAAAGTATTGTAAGTCAACAGAAAAACACTTTTAGGAAGCATTAATTGCAATAAATGATTCACATAATTATGGTGAATATTATTTTATATATTTAAAAATATAGCACATTTGACATTACATACCCAATTATACAAATTATGTCAGTATTGTTTATTTTTAAACAGTAAATAAAAATATTTTGATACATTTGTAGAACAACACCTTGGGTTGTATGCACTGTAATGTAAGCAGGCTGGGTGATGTAATTTTGTATAGTTTTTACTATTTTTCTTGTCTCATTAAAATTTCCCAAAATCCAATTAGTATATGAATATATACTAATTCATATAACAATCTAAGTAAGAAATGTGGTTTCCATATGAGCCTCCTATATGTTTAATCTCAGGTTACATAATGTGAGAATAAGAAGCAGCTAAACTTGTGTTTTATTTTAAAATCAGATTTTCCTGTTGTCCTGCAACCTTATCCACTGTAGGAGACCGAGACTGACCTCCATTGTATATTAGTAGCTGTCTTACGCGCCTTTCCCTTTAAGTCAGGACTGCTTACCATTGCCTAGCTACTCCCGCCTCAAGAACTAGGACTGCCCACCGTTACCTAGTTACTCCCGCCTTTGTCGGGTTACTTGGTTATTCCCGCCTTAGAACTTCCGCGTTTCTCAGTGTGGTATATAAGCACGGCACTTCCCGCTAATAAAGGAGACTTGATCAGAGCACTGTCTTGTCTCCATTCTTCGTGTCTCTTGTCCCTTTATAATCCCCACTCCCCCTCTAGGGTTTACCTTGACTACCCGCGGGCTGAAACAATCCACTACTGCAACTTCTTGCCTCCAAGGACACTGTATCGAAAAGAGCCACTTACTATGCATTTTTAACCTCAGATTCAGTTACTCAGAAGATTCATTAGTGAATGCCTGTAGGTCACTAGGGACTCTGTTTATTCATTTAGTTGCTTTTTATACAATAAAGCAAATGTTGTGCTAGGTATAGTAAAGTGCTCCTTGTTAGAAGTCAGAGTAGCAAGTCTCTTAAACTGGAGTTTTTATATTGTACTATTTTCTTCTCCACTTTCTTTTAGGAAGTAAAAATAGTGCAATAAGGAAGTCAACGTAACTTTTTAAAAGACTATTTCTGTGCTGTCCATGCATCCTAGAGTTGTCATGAGTTTTAACAGGGATTCATGAGCAAGGGACCAGAAGTTCTTAAGAAAACCTTCATCTGAGCTGGCATTTCCAATTTAGGAATTTTAAGATTTCATGTGCTTCCACAACCAACAGAAGCTACAATTGACCACCATAGTAGTAAGTGCAATAAAGTTTGTCATTTTAATATTTACTTTTGTTTGATGGAAATTTTATTGTGCTTTGTAAGAGAAAAAATATTTTATCTACCTCCTAAATGTAACAAATATGGGTGATAATTTCTATGTTTGGTAAGGACTCATCTTTTACTTTATAGAATATGGTTTTTAGATATGTAGATTTCACTTTTGGAGATGTTTATACAAGAATACAATGTTATTTGAATGTTAAAATTTGGTAATTACCCAGAAATATATTACCTATATTGTCAACCTCACATCCAAGAAAAAACATATCTATTTAAATAATACATTCACACACATTATATACTATATTTACATAATATATGTGATATATCATGTATAACATATGACATAATATATATTTATGTAAATTTCTTTCCCAGTCCCCCAAAGCATGAAAACTTGGTGCAAGCTGCAATACCTTATTAGAGAACTCTATCTTCATTTAAAAACATATTTTGAAAGTGGAATAAACAAAAAACATTCATAACTACAGCATTTATTAATGTCCAGTGGTAAGAGGGGTGATTAACTTTTGTGAGACATTACAAAAAAGACTGAAGGAAAGAATTATTCCAGAATATTTGATAAAGAGAAGGCAATTTCTCTGCTAGGTTATGTAAAGGTAGTAAAAGTGGAAAAAATAGATCTCTTTAAAAGTAAACATAGAAAAATTAATTTCACAATAGGCTCAAATTTAAATAGAATTAATATCAAAACACTTTGAATTAGGAGTCCAAAGAGAAAGGAAAATAGCTCCATAGACATTCAATTAGAAAATATGCAATAGATAAATCCCTTTAGAGACATGTGTAGGACAGTCCTTGTGGAGTATTTGGGTGAAGATGCACACAACATGATCCCCACAAGTGAACATTCTCTTTTAAATGTACAGTAGCCTGTACTGTTTCTTAAAGTACAATGATGGTGATTATAGAAAGCCCCATCATTGGACATGCAGGAAACTTTCTAGAAAGCTTAAAATGTGTTGAAACTCAATGAATCCAATGGAAAAGTAGAAGTTGCTCACGTAAATGAACAACAAAAGACGCTTGATCTTGTAAGAAGCATTTACTAAAATATCAATCACATGGAATGTGCTCAATAAACGTAGTACATTTTATTAAAAGGGATTTATTATTGTTACATAGTATACTTGAAGTGCATATGAAATATTCACATAGATACTTCAATTTGTATTTGGGAGTCAAGGATGTTTCAAAATGATGTATAGATTTATTGATCATCTGAAAGATATTTCTAAGCATAGATAGTGATTGTTATGATTTGTGTCTAAATGTTCCCCCAAAGCCTCATGCAGTCTTGGGGGTAGGCTTCTAGAGTTTGTGACTCACTCATGGTCCAACGCTGGGATTATAGGTGTGAGTGCTAAGTCCACCCTGGGGCTAGCAGCCTGCATACAATGTAAGGGAGGGAAAGAGTCTTGCTCTTCCATCTGCCACTCATCCCTTTTGCTCTTGTTGCTTTTACTGTCTTCTGCAGTGATGAACTGTTGCCCTCTGCCATGTGCCACTCTGCCTTGGAGCCAGCCAATTATGGACCGAAACCTCCACAAACTATAAGCTAAATAAGCCTTCCCTTCCTTAACTCTGGGCATCAGGTATATTGTCCCAGCAATGAGATGAGACAACTAAGACACTGATGAAAATACAAAAATATGAGTGTGAAAAGTGAAGAGGGATAAAGAGAATACTAAAAGATTTTGATACATATTCTTCAAGGGTATAAAACAAAAAATTTGAAGCTCAGGCTCTAATTATCTTGTAACTGGCAGATGATCTATTGTTGCTAGCAGCATATGCAACAGTCTTCAGAAATGATTAATGAGGTTTGCTTGTGTAAATGTCCTCAGCCATTACCTGGCAAGTGCAAGATCCTCAGTTCAAGTCCCAGTACAAAAAAAAAAAAAAAATCCTCAGTCATGTAATAATTTGCATTTTGTTTTAAATCAGAATAGTCATTTTCTATGTTCTATCTGTAGTTTAAGATTGGTCTATATTAGCCAAAAATAAATTAAAATAAGTTTGTTGGGGAAGAGGGGAGGAAACAATAAATAACAGAAACAACATACCTTTGATGTTTATTTATCACAGCATTTCATAAAAGTCTAATGTATACTGTGCATAAGTGTTGTGCATTAAAATATTCAATATTATATATCATCCTGAATTGTAAGTAATGACTTGGGGACAGAGAAAACTAACACTTAGGCAGTGCCAAGAGGGGAGCTAGGGAAGTTTGTGTGTGTGTGTGTGTGTGTGTGTGTGTGTGTTTCAGTTTGGAGGTGTTTGGGAGAGCAACCACACATGTACAATAACTAAAAAAATGGAATCATAGTTCTAAAGCAGAGACCTCAAGTGACTATGATGTACATGGTGAGTCCAAGTTGTCTGATATCTATCAACACTTTAAGAAATAACATGCCAAGCAAATACAGTCACAGAGTTCTTGTGCAGCAGAATATCTTTGCTTCCCCTGAAATGATAGGCCAGTGGGAACCTGAAGTAATCCTTACAGAATGTGCAAAGGACAATAATTTTTTTTAAAACCTAATGAAAAAAAAATCTTCATAGATTTAAGATTGTTAAAATAATCCATCACAAAATGTCTCTGAATGTTACATGCAGGTCTAACAGAAAGCAGAAACCAGCAATGAGAAACAAAACAGTAACAACTTTCATTTTACTAGGACTGACAGATGATCAACAACTTCAGGTTCTGATTTTTGTATTTCTCTTTCTCACCTACACACTGAGTGTAACTGGGAATCTGACTATCATCACCCTCATCTTAGTGGATTCTCACCTTAAAACAGCGATGTACTATTTCCTAAAACATTTTGCTTTCTTGGAGATATCATTCACCTCTGCATGTATTCCCAGATACTTGTATAACATAGCAACAGATGACAAGATGATTACTTATGATGCCTGTGTCATCCAAGTGCTGTTTACTGACCTCTTTGGTGTAACTGAATTTTTTCTTCTGGCTGCCATGTCCTATGATCGCTACGTGGCCATCTGCAAGCCCTTGCATTATGCGACTGTCATGAGTAGCACAGTCTGCAGAAGACTAGTCTTTTGTTGCTGGGTAGCTGGTTTGTGTATTATAATTCCCCCTCTCAGCCTAGGCCTAAATCTGGAATTTTGTGACTCTAACATTATTGACCACTTTATCTGCGATGCATCTCCCCTCCTGAAAATCTCTTGTTCCAACACCTGGTTCATGGAACAGACTGTTATTATCTGTGCTGTACTTACTCTTATTATGACACTCATATGTGTAGTTCTTTCCTACATTTACATCATTAAAACAATTTTAAGAATCCCTTCTGTGAAGCAAAAGAAAAAAGCCTTTTCTACCTGTTCATCCCACATGATAGTGGTTTCCATCTCCTATGGCAGCTGCATCTTCATCTACATCAAACCTTCTGCAAAGGAATCAGTGGCCATTAACAAGGGTGTGACAGTCCTCACTACTTCCATCGCCCCTATGCTGAACCCTTTCATTTACACACTGAGGAACAAGCAAGTAAAACAGGCCTTCAAAGACTCAATCAAAAGAATCATAATATTTTGCAAGAAATAAGAGAATATAAAGTCCAACATATGCAAGGAACACCGCAAACATCTTAGGTAAACTGTTTCAGAACACTTTTATCCTGTACTAGTGACATCTTTTCTACAAATCTCTGTAAGATAACATCCTCCCATAGGAATGTCAACAGCCTTCAAAATTTAGATCCCGGTTTTATTTTTAAATAAATAATACCAAAAACTGGTCAAATGCAATAAAATAAAATTGAAGTGTCCAATAGATCTTTACCTTTCTATGCAAAAGGAAAACAAGGTATGGTCACCATTATTTCTTTGGATGCAAAACTTTCAAATGATTTGTTCACTGATTCAACCAATAAATGTATAGTGTGTGATTTCTTTAGGCCAGACACTATTTCAGGCACTAAAAATAAAAGACAAAACAAAACCAATTACCATCAGAAATAAAAGGAAGAAATGGAAATACTCTAAGTGCTCATCAACTTATAACTCAGTACAGAAAATGTTCTATGTATACAGCATGGAATAATATTCAGCTATAAAATAAGATGAAATTATATCATTTGCAAGAATATAGATGGTATTAGCAATCACTAATTAAGGGAAATAACCTAGGCATGGAAAGTCAAGTACATCTCTTGTGTGTGGAATATAAAAGAGCTGATCTCAGAAACATTGAGAGCAGAGAGGGGAAGGGAATGGGGAAATGTGCATCAGTGGCTACTAAGTTACAGTTTGATATGAGTAAGAAGTTCTGATAGTCAAGGATGTAGCTCAGTGGCACAGCACCTGCCTGGCAAGAGTAAGGTCCTGAGTTCGATTCCCCATAACCCCACAAAAAAAAAAAAAAACAGAAGTTCTGATGCACTCTTGCACACTACAATGACAATGGAAAATACAATATATTGTACATTTCAAAAATTAGAGGAAATGAATTTGAATTTTTGTATCATAAACAAATGGTTAATATTTGAGAACATAAATTTTTACTCTAATTTGAACACAGCATAATGTATACAAGTATTAAAACATTATATGGTATATCATAAATAAGTGCAATTTTTATATTTTGTTGAGTTTAAAAACAATAAAGTTATAAAAAGGTTAACTTGCTCTGAAATAACTATTTTTGTCATGAAAGGGAATAAGCCATCCCATATTATATATGTATATCAAAACATCATATTGTATTCCATAATTATAAACAATTATTGCTGTCAAAGTATAATTAGCAATAAAAATGTATGTATTTAAAATGAACTTTAAATAATGCTGTTCTTAGCTCTTTTCAAGCAATGAATTCTTTATATTTCTATGTCATGAAAAATATAAAGTCAAGTCAAGTTTACAAAAGAACAAATTTGAAGTTGACTAGAACCTGGAGTGGATTTAAAGCTTTAGAAATTTTGGGCTGTTAAATTTTAATGCAATTTTAAATATTAGATATGCTAGCACACACTAAAAAGTATCATGATATACCATTTCTTTACTGTATAAAAATTCAGCAAGACACAAAAGGAGGCTTGGGTCTCTTAGCTGCCTTATGTGATGTGAACTAATTAAAAGAAAACTGGACTAGGTTTTTTTTTTAATTTGATTTTTAATGATTTTTTTATTCTTAAAGTTGTGGTTCTTTTCATCTCTTTCCAGAATATCTTTTAGTACTCTTTATAGGGTTGGTTTGGTGCTCATGAAGTTCTTCAGTTGATCTTTATTGTGGAAATATTTTATTTCTCCACTAATTTTGAAGGATAATTTTGCAGGGTACATCAATCTGGGTTGGAAGTTGTTTTTGTCAGGACCTGAAATATTTCAGTCCAAGCTCTTCTTGTCTTGATGGTTTGTGTTGAGAAATCTGCTGTGATTCTTATGGGCTTTCCTCTATAAGTGATCTGTTTCTTTTCTCTAACAGCTTTTAATATTCTGTGCTTTTGTTGAATTTCTGGGATAGTGACCACTATATGTCTGGGTGTAGATTTGTTTTGGTTATGGCTAGTTGGAGTTCTACATGCCTCCCTTACTGAATGTCCAATTTTTTTCCATGCTTGGGAAATTTTCTGCTACTACTTCCTCAATAGTCTTTTTATGTCATTTGTGCTGACATCTACTGTTTCATTGATACCTATTAATCTTACATTGTTTTTCTTTGCTTCGTCTTGCAGCTGTCGAACTGTTATTTCTTGGTTTCTTGTTATTTTTAAGAGATCCTTCCTTTCACAGTCATTCACAGCTATGCTGTCTTCAAGTCTGAAAGTCTATCTTCAGCTTCATTCAAGGGGTTTTGCCAGCTTTCAAAGGAAGTTTTAATTTCCTGGATATCTGCTTGAATCTGTTTCATGCATTCTAGTTCTTTCTTATACTGTTCATTCAAGGTTTCCATGAATTTATGATGCTCCTCTATTTTTTTTCTATGTCTTCTTCAGATGTACTAAGCAATTCCTTCATTATTGTTGTGATTTTTTTTTGCCTCAGAGATTATTTCTGATCTGATGTCTTCTATGGCCTGATGGAGTTGTTTCTTTACTTGAGCTGCTATCATATCAGAAATTTCAGGTGTATGACTTCCAAGCTCATCTGTGTCAATAT